TCTCATGTATTTGGACATATTATTAGGAGACATCGTGCTTGGTGAAGTAGAGGGACTATACGAGAGTGGAAGCCCTTCGACCGAATGGATCGACATAGTGGTGCTGACAATGGCCTCAAACGTAGCACAGGCTTTGCAGATGGTGCAGTGCTTGTTCTGTTTTACACAGAGTTGCTATCAGTTGGAACCACCTTGATAGCATCCTGCAACAATAACATATATAATCACACATAATATATTTATATTTCTTTTCCTTTCTTTCTTTTTTGAATCATTTTCTTGAATCACTTTTTTGAACCATTTTACATCAGGCAGTATTGTACCATTGCTATCACAATCAGTTTCAAAACATTTTCTTTCTTCTTGAACTCCTTGGTATCAGTTCCTCTTTATCCCCTCCCTCCCCCACACAACCACCCTTATTTATTTATTCACTTACTTCTTACTTATTGTCGTATCGTACACCATCCAATATATCCATTCACGGGCCATTCTGTTGTTTCCTCCCCTCTAGTGGGGTTATACAGTCATCTTCACCTTCTCCCCCACCCCACCCTTCCTACTCCCTCTCTCCCCCTCCCCTCGGGGCTGTAATTCTGATGTTTGTGGTTGGAAGGGGATAGGAGGGGGGGCAGTTTGACCACCTTGCTGCCATCGGCTGAGGATGTCCTCAGAAAGTGACTCAGCTCGGTATCCACAGCCAAGAGAAGATAGAGCTCTGCCCCGGACTCTGGCCTGCTCTTAGAGTCCCTGGCTCCTCAGCTAGCAGCCACACTCTCGTGCTTTTCTGATCTAACAACAGGAGCCCAGAGCAGGTGGTTCTACATGGGCACTATCTTCCTGGAAGTCTCTCTGAGATCTATTGTTTTGAGCCAAGGAATCAGTTCCGGAATATCACAATTAAGTGGCTGTCATTTCCATTCTTAACAATATTAACTAATATTTTTCATGATCCACATAGTTAAATGCTTTTATATAGTTAATGAAATAACAGGTTAACATTGTTCTGGTTGTTAGGCTTTTATTCAAGATACATCTGACATTAGGCATTAGATCCCTTGTTCTAGGTCCTCTTTGGAAACAGACTTGAATTTGGGGCAGTTCTCTGTCAAAGTAATTTTGCAACATATTTCTATGTATATGCATATACCCACTGTCATTAAGTTGATTCTGACTCCTAGTGACCTGTATAGTTTCCAAAGCAGTAACTCTTTACGGTAGCAGAGAATCACGTCTTTCTCCCTGGAGCGACTAGTGGGTTTGAACTGCCAACCTTACTAACTGCAGTCCAACACTTAGTTGACAGCACCACCAGCACTGTGCATTTAAATAGGTAGGGAGATGGAGGAGAGAGAGAAGGAGGTTCCCAGGGTCTTCCTTATGAGCAGGCTGCACCTCTAAGGGCTTCCTTTGGCCACCAGGCTGTGACCTGACCTGCGACCTGTGACAGGTTGGATTCTACCCCTTCACTTTTCAATGTCTTCAAGTTACACGAAGTCATCTATCCCAGTAGGCATGTAAAAAACAATATTACCAATCCATACTTTTAAAACCTTCCATTTCAGAGGGCTCTTGTATATCTGATCCTAAGATTTCACACAAAGTGGTAGGCTCAGAGTCCCACGTCCAGGGAGAGTCCTTGCCCAGCTCCTCTCAAAAAGAGAAACGAATCATGACATTTGTTGCTCAAAGCATAATTTTTCAGCAAAATGTTTAGCTTGAAAGATATATTTTCAATAATCAGGTTTTTCTTCTAATTCAAATTTTATTCTCCTAAAAGCAAAATGTGTTGTAATTAAAAATGGAAAGAAAAATGAGTTTCAAAGGACATTCCCCAGGGCAAATGATTTTATTGCTGCCATGGACATTTGGGGATCAAGTTTAAGAGAATGTGGTTGAATTCAGTGTTTCAAATGTACTTCTCATCTATAATTACACGTGTCTAAGGTCTTGTAAAGTGGCTGTATAATTGCTTTTGAGTTGCCTATAAAGGAAATATTGAGAAGCTGCATTGCATGAATTACAGTGTGAATGAATCTTAGGAGCTCTCAGTTTATGCCGTTGTATTTTCATTAGCAATGCGATGCTGGCAAAAAACAGAAAAGGGCAACTGTGACCTTTTATGGTGACTCTCGGCGATAGGAACGAACCCTTTTTAAAGAGTGAAACAATTCCACTTTCTCCCACCCTCACTTGCTAAAGTGGCTTATGACCAATGCAATGCATTTTAAAAAGATCAAAGTCCATTGGTGATAGTTAATGTGTCTTAGAATTAGGTTTTCTTCCATCCCTTTTCTTAGAAGATAGCTATGTATTTCACCATCTCTAAGGCATTGATCCCCCATTTTTCAATAACTCTGAAATCAGACTGTACCTCAAAAAGATGCCATGATTTTATCTGTTTTAATTAGGAGCAGCTCCCCACCCCCTACTTTCTTGTTGTTCTTCTTGTTAGGCACCCTCCAGTCAGTTTCAATGCACTGAGTCGTTATTCCCAGCAGAACGAGCACTGTCTGGTCCTGTACCATCCTCACAATTGCTCCTGTGTCGGAGCTGATTGTTGTCGCCACGATGTCAATCCACCTCCTTGAGGACTTGGCCTGTCCCTTGCTGCCCCTCTACGTTACTTAATATGATGGCTTTCTCCGGGAACTGGTCTCTCCTGATAACATGTCCAAAATATATAAGAGCCTGCACCCCCAGGGGATCAACCTAGACCCAAATTCAAGCCCACTGTTTTGAGTCGATTCGGCCTCATGGCAACCCTTTGGAACAGAGTCAAACTAAGTGCCCCACAGTCGTTCCAAGGTTGCCGTCTTTATGGAAGCCACCTGCCTCACATGTCTCCAGTAGAGTGGTTGGTGTGTTCAAACCACTGACCTTTCAGTTAGCAGTGCTCAAACACCATGGAGATGGAAATCCCCAACAATAACTTCTTTCGGTACCCAAACCACGCAGGACCACTTTCGGGAACCACTATAGTCAGACGGTCTGGGTGAGCTCCCGAAGATGATCAATGCTGTGATCAGAACTGCCTTCCGTGAAAGAGAGGTGGTGGGTCTCCTTCGTTGCTATTGATGGAAGGACAGGAAGTGTGAGGGGGAGCCACCCGGGGAAGGGAGGTCAGTGAGTCCCAGCTCCCCATGCTGAGGGGGTGGCAGAGCAGGAAATGGACTGGAACCACCAACTCCTTTGTTAATGCAAACTTTAGAAAGCGAATCCTACAGATGTTAATATTTGACTCCCCGGCTTTTGATTGTGTCTGGCATGGAGGCGGGGGTGGGGCCTCACCTGTCACTGAAATGTGCAATTGATGCATGTCCACCATTCTGAGAACTGTATCCCCTGCCTGTATGATTTAGCATGACAACCGGATTACATTTATACAATTAATTAATGTTTGCTTGACCACTTTTATCCAATTTCTTTCCATAGCACATAAGAGAACCTGACATAAATTCCCCTTTCAAAACAATCGACTTAGCCACTGCTGACCTTCTGTTCTGTCATTCTATGGATTGATTGGCTATTGTTGAATTGTTTCATTCTACAGTAATTAAACATAAAATTAATTATGCTAGTAACCCATTATTTCTCCGAAGCAAGGACTGAGTCATTTGTTTTCGCTTGGTTACTCAGAGAATCTGCCCTGAGATGAACAAGGGAGGGAAAAGAAAATCCTACTGTTGCAATAGAAACGAAATATTTTTCAGACACACTTTCATGGCTAACATATAATCTGAAGGCTTCTCATTTCCATATGCATAGCATCTTGAATTTGTTTAATGTAATTTAGGTCGTAAATCTTTTACCTTATGATATGGCCATTTAAATATTTTCTCAGGTGGCTAATCATTTAGAAAACCTGTCAAAGAAGAATATATGTCAAGAAAGAGAGATGGACGCAGAAAACCAGAAGCTCCCGCAGAGCCATTGGGAGTCTCTCATTCTCGATTTGGTTTGTTGCTCATCCGACATGAAATTTACTTCACAAGTCATTTTCCTTGTTGGTTTTGTGTAGAAAATACTTAAAGTGCCTGCTCCTGTGAGCCCTGAACCTGGTTTGAAGAGGCTCACAACTATCACAGGACTACACGATCAAGGAATACCCTGATCAGAGCTGAAGTGGAGCTTTGCGGTTTTTCTTTAGCACAGTTCCTATTAATTTAATTAACATGATTGAAGATAATATCGTTGCACGAGGAAGCAGAAACGTCACCCTGGTTTATGACTTACCCTTAGGCTATGAAATGACAGAGCTGACAAATGGGTGTGAAATATTATATCTTTCATGGGGAGAAATCTGCTTTTCGCTACAGGTGCTTCCCTATGGCTTCCGGGCATGCTGTTTGTTTTGTAAATTTTTCCAGGAAATCCCCCAATTTACATTTGTGTGCACTGCCTTGTGAACTTTACCAGATGCAATTCTTGATGTTTTTCAAAAGTCATGATCCTCTTCAGTATTTTGCATATCGAGCTGATTCTTGGCTTCTCGTTATACGTCATGTAGTTCGGGCTGTTAAGTGATCTATTGTTTCACCTGCTCGAGTTCCTCCTCCTTAGGTCGAAAAGCTTCGCTTCCTCACCTGCAGGCCATTCTAGGCGGGGCTGAGAATCGTAAAGCCCCGCCCACAGTGCGCCTGGGACCCAGGAGAGCCAATCAATAGCCTGATTTAGGACTGGTGAGGGAGTAGCTGGGTGATGTAAAATAGTTCTCATGCCTGGCTGCTAACGGAGAGGTGGGGATTTGGAGTGCACCTAGAAGCGCCTCCCAAGAACGGCCTGGTAAATCTCCTTTTGACTGGGGCTCTTGGTTCCACAGGGCTGGCTCAGGGGCTTCGGAACGTAACATTTCTGACTCTCTGCCCAGGAGTGGGCTAGATGATCCCCTGGGGCCCAATCACTTCCCAATGATCATGACTCCATGGTCGTTTTCCACAGGCCGGGGCTGGAACGGCAAAAGAGAGCACAAGTCAATCATGGCTGGAAGAGCTTTGCCAGGAAACACGCATCCCTCCAGCAAGGAGAACAACAACAACACAAACAAACGGAGTCACAGCGCAGAGTCTGCTGTGGGCGTGGCTGCGTAGGGAACGTGTGCTGAGAATCTACGCAGGTGCTTTGTATCAGGTAAGAAGGGAGATGGATGTTTCCTTGGGATTCAATTACTTCTGAGTGTCCAGTTTTAGACTTTTAGAGGACCGGCATCCATCACCAGAAATCCAAAACTCTTCCTATCACCAGAGAGATTTGAATGTCATTGTTGACCCCAACGCTCTCTCTCCAGGTTCTCCGTGAACATGAAACAGCCATCTCCCAGGGGAATGCTGAGTGGGAGTTAATTGGGTAATCACATCCCAAACAAATGCGCTTACTAATATATTGGCCTCCAGGCCATTCCCTACCATGGTGATCCTGTGTACAAGGGAAAGAAATGCCACTTGAAGCATTCCTGTGATTGGTTGCAAACGGTACCACTTGGGTCTATACAGTTCTCATTGCAGGTTTACGGAAATTGAGTGCCAAGCCTTGCCCCTTCCCCCAGCTCCGGCGGCAGGAAGCCCAGCTGACACCTGTTAAGTATCTAGCACCCCTCAGCCGTCATTGACAGTCAGCTTGTGGTTGTGTGTGAGGCATATGGACCAGGAATCAAATCCAGGTTTCCCTGTGGATGGGGAGAATTCTACTAGGGGACAATTGGTGCCTCATCCTCTCTATTCTACTTATTTAGTCTCCAGGGCTGCCTTGGAAGAAGGAAGAGTTGGTTTCCATCTCAACGGGAAAGAGAAAGAACAATGTCAACTTCAATTAAGAGAAAGAACAGAGAGACTAAGTAATTTGCTCAAGGTCACACAGGCAGGAAACGGTGGACAGGGTGTTCTGCTAGCAGATTCCAAGCTCTTTACAACATCTGGGGCCCAGTGTGTTAATTTTCCAGAGTCTATGATGCGAAACATGGGAAAGCCCAGATGTCCAGTCAATGGGAGGAAATGCTTAGCCATAGATTGGGATTGCTTTTATACTCTGAGCTGGCAAAGAGCTGAGAATAAAGCGTTCAAGCCGAAGGAGATCAGCTATGTTGGCCATCACTCCAAAAATTTCTCTGGAAGTTGAGGTTCTATAGAACCTTTGTGGTACATTTCATCGTGGAAATGTCTGGACTTACCCCTCAGAGGAGACCGATGGAAGCCCTCCTCTCTTGTGGAGCACAAGTTCAGAAGAGCAAGATGCCTTGGTTGATCTTTCTTAAGGAAAGGCCATCATGAACTATTTTGATAAGATGTGAGCCTGAAACTTTCTCCTTGATGTGAGAGAAAGCAGAAAGAACCATCTCATGCTACTCTAATTAGGATCCAAGGAAGATAAACTATTTACTATCTCAGTGCATCGCAGACAGGAAAATGGGGTGGAGACCGCCTGAAAATAACTGGTATTCCCTCGATGATCTCTTTTTTGCTTCTCCTTCATTCAAGCAAGATCTGTAAATTCTTTCAAAATCTCGAAGGAGGTAGATAACAAGCACTTTCTCTTCGGAACTTTCTAAGCCCAATTTAGGGCTTAATAGCTCCATGTAAAGAAATGTTTTTCTCTAGAGCAAATTTAAATCATTCTGCTGCAGGTTAATTCCATTTCCTCTCTTTTCTCTAGTGAGGAAGAAGAACAGCTGTGCACTATCTTCCTGACATCAGAACTGAGCACATCGGAACGGAAATATCAGCTCAGCCTCAGACGTCCTTACAGCCTTCAGACAGAAGAGGAGTCAGTGGTTCTCCAAGTATGTTCCCTGACCACAAGCACCACTTTATCCCGTGAACACTTTAGAAATGAAAATTCCCAGGCTCCACCCAGACTTGCTGTGCCAGAAACTGGGGAGTGGGGCCCAGCAATTAGTGTGATATAACAAGGCTTCAAAATGATGCTCATGTCTGCTAAAGTGGGAGAACCACTTGGAATAATAGACATTTGATCAGATGTGGTTGATTACGCCTCATAAGTGCTGTTAGATGCCTTTCGTCACTTGTGACTCATAGTGACACGATATACAACAGAACAAAATACTGCCAAGCCTTGTGCTCTCCTCCAAGTCTTTGTCCTGGAACCCATTGTTACAGCTACTGCGTCACTTCATTGCGCTGGGTGTCTTCCTCTTTTTCTTTGAATCATCTTATGGGGGCTCGGACAACTCTTACCACAATCCATCCATCCATCCATTGCGTCAAGCACATTTGTACATTTGTTGCCATCATCGTTCTCAAAACATTTGCTTTCTACTTGAGCCGTTGGTATCAGCGCTTCACTTTTTCCCCTCCCTCCCTCCCAACCCCTCCCTTATGAATCCTTAATAATTTATAAATTATTATTACTTTGTCATCTCTTACACTGGGTCTTCCTCTTTGTCAATTACCTTCTATTTAACCAAGCATGATATCCTTATCCAGAGATTGGTACCTCTTGATAATATGTCCAAAGTATGGGAGACACTATCTCACTATACTCACTTCTAAGGAGCGTTCTGGCCATCTTCTTTCAAGAAAAAATGTATTTGTCCTTTTCGCAGTCCACTGTCCTTACAACATTCCTCCTCTACATCGTCATTCAAGTGCATCCATTCTTAAGTCTTTCTTCTTCATTGTCCCATTTTCACATGCAGCTCGGGTGATTTAAAGTACCTCTTTTTGATACAGTTCCATTTCATCTCCAAGGTGACATCTCTGCTTTTCAGCTCTTTAAAGATATCTTTTGCAGCAGATATACTCAACGCAATATGTTGTTTGATGTCTTGACTCTGCTCCAATGGGTGTGCATCCAAGTAGAATGAAATCCTCAACAACGTCAGTGTTGCTTATGGTTGAATTGTGAGGATGCTTGTTTCCTCTGTGTAGAGCTGGAATCCATACTGAAGGCTACGTAGTCTTCCGTCTTCATCAGTAAGTACTTCACATTCAACAAAGGGTTAATGAGTCTTCCTTGAATCCGAATGCTGTGTTTGTCTTCAGAAGGTCCAGCTTCTCCTATCTTTTGCTCAGCATAGACATTGAACAGGTAAGGTGAAAGGACACACCCCTCTTTCTGATTTTAAACCATACACTATCCTCCTTTGGGTCAAATGACCACTGGTTGGTCTATGTAGAGGTTTTGCACGAACACAATTTAAGTGTCCGAGAATTTCCATTTTTTGCCACATTCATAAGTTGTTCTGATCCCCCTAGTTGAATGGTTTGGCATAGTCAATGTAACACAGGAGGACACCTTTCAGGTAAGCTCTGCTTTCAGGTAAGCTCCAGCTGATGTTTTATACCGAGTCCTCTTCTGAATCTGGCTTGAATTTTAGCCAGCTCCTTATCAATCTATCACGGCAACCATTTGGAATGATCAGAATGGTTGTGTGTTATAGTACTGCATGCGGGTGGATCATCTTTCTTTGGCATGAGCCCAGTTGGACAGGTCTCTACCTTCCAACATTCTGGCCTCGTTGAGTGAGCATTTCTCATGTTGCATCTGTTGGTTGAAACATCTTAAATAGAGCTCCTCCATTCCTCGAGCCTTGGTTTTCATCAATAACACCAGTGTAACTGGACTTCTTTCTTCAAGACTATTGACTTTTGATCGTATATCATTTCTTGATATACGACATCAACCAATTATTTTAGGTACTATGACTCTGTATTCTTCCCATCTTCTTCTCATGTTTCCTGAGCCATTGACAACTTTAACATAGAATCCTTCCATACTGTAACTCCAAGCCTGACTTTTTCTTCAGTTCTTTCTGTTTGAGAAATTGCAAGCTTGTTCTTTTCTTTTGGCTTTCGAACCCCAGGTCTCTGTACATTTCATTATAATACGCTATCTTCTCAGCTGCCCTTGGAAATCTGTTCAGCTCTTTTGCTTCATTATTTCTTTAATTTGCTGAAGCTACTGTAAATGCAAGGGTAAGTTTCAGAGCCTGGCTTCCATTTTTGTATTCTTTTCCTTTTGTCTTTTAATCCATTCTTCTTTTCTTACTGTATGATGGTCTTGGTGTCCCTTCGTAGCTCATCCAGGCTTCCGCCATTAGCGTTCAGTGTGTACAGGCTAGTTTTGAGATGACCTTTAAATTCAAGTGGGATATACTCAAGGTCATACTTAGCTCTCATGGACTTGTTTTCATTTTAATCATCTTCCCTTGAATTTGCATATGAGCAATTGATGATTTGTTCCATAATTGGATTCTGACCTTGTTCTTATGACATTATTATTCTAATACTTTATAGTGTTTTGGCATTTGTATATATGCCTGTATATAAGAATATCCCTGTTTATACATGCAATGTTTATTGGCTAGCAGTTATATACAGTATCACATGTGATACATATTTAAGAGCTATAAATAAAATCCCATCGAGGTACAAAAATTCAGAAATCACAGTCTGGTTATGCCTACCAAAGGTTACATGGTAAGTGCTTAATTTTTAAATTAAAGAACATATAAACAAAAAATAATTGCCTAGAGATGGAAATTTAGGTTATTCTCAATTATCACCCCCTCCGACCCTTCCCGACTCCCTCCTTTTCTTTGGTCCTTTCCTTTCTATCCCCTTTCTTCCTTTCACTCTTTCCTTCCATCCTTCCTTTTGTTTTTAACTCTTTTAGAAAATGGAAATCCCTTTAAACTACAAATAAAAACCAAACCAAACATACTGCCCGAAAGTCAATTCTGACACATATCAACTTTCTATAGAATAGAGTCTAGAACTGCTCCTATGGGTTTCCAACACTATAACTCTTTATGAGAGTAGAAAGCCTCATCTTTTCCCCTCGGAGTGGCTGGTAGTTTCAAACTTCTAACCTGGCAAGTAGCAGCCCAATACGTAATCCACTAAGCCACCGGGGTTCTTTCAAGCTGCATATAAAGTGGTGAGCTAATCACCAATGCCTCTAGTCTGTGTGGTTCAGGATCTCACTGTGCTGTATGAGGCGCTTTAATGAGAGAGTCATTGGGTTATCCTCCAACGTGTCTGGAGAGACATTTTCTAAAGAATGCCGAGGGATGGGACATTCTACACAGACCCTGCTGCTCTTCTTAAGGAATGCATTTTGGAACGTTTTATTGGTTGATCAGGTTATTCTTATTATTATTTTAGTTGACTCCTTCGTATGATTGTGACTGCAAACGATTGTGACTTCAAACACATACTTTTAGGAATTTGGGGTTAAATTCCTAAAAGTGTGTGTTTGGATTTGAGACTGGCTTATCTCTGTGAGGCACGGGAGCCCTGGTGGTGGTGTGGTTATGAGTTGGACGATGATCTGCATATGCAGTTGGCAGTTCCAATCCACCAGCAGCTCCGCGGGAGAAAGCCGCGGTGTTGGTCTTGGAAACTCGCAGAGGGTGGCTGTGAGTCCGCATTGGCTCAATGGCGTTGAGTTTTTTGAGTTTTGATGGCAAACCAAACTTGCCAGGGAAAGGAGAATCCGTGGCCTGACCTCTTGCAAACAGAGTTGGAACTCGTCTCGGAGAGCTCCCGCTGGGGTCTGACTTGGATCGAAGAGGTATGACCCGATGAAAGTTCTGGTTTCTTGCAAACAATTAAGTCTTGTCGCTGCTGCCCTAGTGCAGCCGGTCTCCTACCCGTTTGGAGCCTCATCTTTTATAGAAACTTCATGGTGCCGTGGTCATTAGAATTGAAAGTGGTCATTATACCACAACCACTTTGTTTTCCCCTCTCTCATTAAAGTTGTCCTACCTTGACGGACAGTCTCGTTGTTTTATACTTGAGTGTAGCTTTGGGGAGCCTGGTTAGATGGAAGTGAGATAAATACCTTGAAACAGGACCAAAATCTCTAAACCCGAGTCTTAATTCTGCACAGATTTTGTGGCCTAATGAACACAATCCCCTTTCATAATGAGGCTGAGGAAGCACATTGTGTTAGTCGATGGACTAGAGAAACAAATTCATAGGCACTCATATATGTATAAAAAAGAGCTTTAGATAAAAGAGCAATTGAATATTGAGAAAACAGCCCAGTCCAGATCAAGGCCGTAAGTTCAATATGAGTCCATATGTCCCATACGCGTCCATTAACTCCTCGTTAGACTCACACAGTGCATGCAATGATGCCGAATGCAGGAAGATGATAGGCCAGTGGGTTGAATGTCTTGAGGACATCTCAGTGCTGGTGTGGGTCTCCACATGTCTCCTCCAGCTCTCTGAGTGTCTCAACAGCAGGAAGGGAAGGCAGAGAGGGTATGTGTCCTGCCTCGGGGGAGGAAGAATCCTCAGGAGGATTTTCCCATGCCCACGCAGAGGCCTCATTGGCTACAACCTCATCGACAGGCTAGATAGACTCCACCCCTTTGCTCAGATGAACACATTATGTAATGGCCACACACATTCAGGGTGGAAAGCTAGAGGAAAAGCCATTTCCTAGCATTTTTAACAGGGTGTGGACAGCAGACATTGGGACCTCTGCCATTCAGATGGTTTTTTGACATGAAGTGTCCAATGTTTTTTGTTCATTGCAGGATAGCAACACTAGCCTTGTGCTGAGCAAAAATAAGTTTTCAATGAATGCCTACTAAAAGAGTGAAAGAAGGAAAATCTTTCCATGACTGCTTTAGTGGGACAGCCAGAAATGCTGTTTTAAATGACAGCAGAAGGGTAGAGGAGGAAGCTTGGGAAAAACAAACAAACAAAAGTCCAAAACTTTATAGACACTTTTAGAACACATTCCTTCAGAAGTCTATTTCATGTCATGCTTAACATGAGCATGCCCATTAGTTAAAAAAAATACTGCGTAAGCAATTTGTTTTAGGAACTCAACTTGGGTTGTTAAGATGTTCCAAAAGATGGCATTTATTTGCTGAAGTCCAACTTTTAATAATAAATATTTGCCAAGGTAGATGTGACCTATTCCATAGCTTATTGAACTCAGCTTGCCCAGTCCAGTCAAGAGTTTACAAAGAACTATTCGTTCTGACTAAGGCAGGCCATGAAGACATGACGTAACATTATATCCTTCTCCAAACCCTTTAAATTGGTAAAGATATATTTTTCACATATTCCTGTATCTATTTCACATATTCATATTTATCACAGTTTATGTGTGCGTGTCTTACATATTCTTTCCTATTTTCAGCAGGAAAACTATTTTCTCCCACCGTTTGATTTCTGTTTATCCTTTGCTGTCAGAAGTTAAAAAGTTTTTCTTCTAATAGAGTCAATAAAGAAAGGTCTTGTTTTCAACTTAACTGGGAAATGTGTGGGGGAAAAATGAAGTAACAAATTTTACAGCATGTGCTCAATGCCAAATAGTGATATAACCATTTCACAAATGCTATCTCATTTAATGTTCAGAAGAAGTAGGTGCATACATTATAACTTTTCAGGGGAACTTGAGGCACAGAGAGGTCAAATAAGTTTCCCAAGTTTGGGAGTTATTCCCAAGTGATTTGAAAGTTATTTCCCAAGTAGTAGAACTGGGCTTCAAACATAGACTGGCAATAGTGTTTTTCAGCATGATACCATGAAGTCTTGCCCTTTGCCTGAGCCATTGCCTGGGATCTTGGACTTGGTATGCACAGTTCTTTCTTGCAGGTGGAAGGAGGCCTGTGTGCATAGGGGTGATGCATTGGGCTGCAAATGGGAAGGCCAGTGGTTGGAAACCACCAGGCCCCCTGGGGAGAACGGCGGGACTTTCCAGCCCCTTACAGAGTTCCTTCTCAGAGCCCCGCAAGGGCAATTCTTCCCCGACCTACAGAGTTACTGTGAGTCGGAATCATTCGATGGCACAATGTTTGCTTTGGAAGGATCTAGGAACTCCCTGGGCCCTGACGTTTTCTGATGTTAAAAGTGATCAGCTTAGAAACATGACATTTAAAATCATTTCTGAATGGGGAGAATGGCTTTTCCCCCAGGATGAAAACAAGAGTTTTAGAGGAGTAAAGGGGTTTACTGGGAAAGACAAAAAAAAAAAAAAAAGATATATAGAGTTTCCGAATTCCAGTTACTCTGTAGTTTAAAACGGGCAGGTGGTGAAGGCCATGGCTGGCATTCCCATGTTTGCCTGTACCTCCTCTTCTGTTTTGTCTTTCCCCTTTATCCAACCCTGCAGAACACCAACGTGCCAGCAAGATACAGGGGAAAGTCATGCTATTAAACATAGCGCAGGTGCTGTGGGTAGGTGTTCACAGTGTAGGGGAGATTTAATTCTCCCATTGCTTACATTCTCTATGGAGTCCCGGTAGCTGCTTTTAGATGAGCATAGAGCTGCTATCCACAAGGCTGTGGGTTCAAACCTATGCTGCATGGGGGCAAGATGAGGCTACCTATTCTTACAAAGGTTGACAGCCCTGCAAACTCTACATAGGGTTTTCTCTGAGTTAGAACCAACTAGATAGCAATGGGTTCTTTTCCTACCCCCACCCCTCTTTCTAGAAGCTGAATTACCATTCCTGTGAAATACATATGCTGTAAGAGAATCCAGGTCTACTAGGGAAATGTCTTTGATCCATTGCACTTGTCTCTCCAAGTGAAAAACCAAACCCACTGCCATTGAGTCAGTTCTGATTCACAGCCATCCCATTGGATAGAGTCAGCTGCCTCTGGATTGGGCACACTTCTGAGAGTATGACTCTTTAAGGGAGTAGAAAGGCTCATTTATCTCTTAGAGCATCTGGGAGATTCAAACTGCTGACCTTGTGATTAGCAGCCCAGTGCAGAACTGGCTACGCCACCAGTGCTCCTTGCACTCACCTTTAGATAGGGGAAGATTGTGAGAGAGGGTGGGGGAAGCCAGAGATTATGAGATCAGGATCTGTCTTCAGCTTGGCACTGTTTTATTGAAAACTTGAAAGGAGTGGGGCTTATAGGTTCTTATTTATTTACTATTTTAATGATGAACCTTGTTCAACTTTCTTACAGAAAAAGCAGATAAGCACCGTGACTTTTAGATTCGCCAACACCAGCACTGAAGTTGGAAGCTGCCTAAGTATGCGCCAAGAAAAATCTACGAATATGATTTTCTACTAAACTCGGTAAGGAAAGATATTACAAATGAAGTGTTGAAATCATGAAGGATTTTTTTTTTTAAAAGAGGAAGTAAGGTTTTATGTCATTTAACTTGCAGAGTTCAACACTTAGCAACTTCTGGCGCTGAAAAAGTGGAGGCTTGCCACCCTAGACAGCGGAGAAAGTCATGGTCCGTAATAGTAATGAACATAAGCAAAGAATAGATTTCCCAACTGCTGATTCATTTGCCAGATGTTATCAAAGATCCCCCACCCCCACCCGAGTTTCAAACCAGCCATCCTTGACATTAATTGTGGTAAAAAGATTCTCCAGGTGCATGCCACATTCTCGTGCCCTGTTGGCTTCTGACTAACCAAAACACCAAACTCAGCCCATTGATTTAGGCTGAGAGTGGACAAATATTGCCAAGAAGGACTTGAAGTCCGGCCATTAAAACGTAAAACAAACTCGGGTGTACATGGATAGCCTTCAAGGTGATGTGAAGGTGGTTAATTAAACCCTGGGCCCCTGTGTTTAGCTTTGGCTTTCACCCCCCAAATGAAGTTGCATAGGAAAACAAATGAGTCGTCCCAGCATGATCTTGAACCAGCTTTCCTGGATTTCGTACTTGCTGAAATTCTGTGAGGATCGCCAATGGGGAAGGTGCAAACCTGCGCTATTGATGGCGTCCAGGAGTAGCTGGTCAGGGACAAGAAAGGGACAGCGGGTGGAGAGGCGAGCAATCCAAAATAAGACCACAGTGTGCTACCCTGGGCTGCTGGGGTTTTCAGATTAAGATGGGGGATTAAGGAATTTTACTCAGCAATTTGAGATGCTTTGTTAGGGACTGAGGAGATTTGAGCTGCTTTGTTCTCAAACCACATGTTAGTGAAAAAGCAAACAGGCACTTAATCCTGACAGACAGCAGAACTTGACATCAATTTGCCCCTTGGGAGGTGACCAGGAGTTCTCCGTGACGGGTTAAAATGGTTGGCCCTTGTTTTCCTGGAGTCTAGTGCCAACATTCCATCCTAACCTGTATTTCTCAGCACTGTGGCCATAACTCAGACAGTTGGGCTGTCCCACACAGCTGACCAAGAGTTTCTGGGTACGAAGAGCTCACATTTTATTATAAAAATGAAACAAACCCCACCCCCACCGCCTCCCCCCAAAAGCCTTTAAGTGAAAATAACCTATAAGGTACCAGTTACTTAAATGGATTTGGGGAAAGTCTACTACTTTGGTTACTCCATCTTGAAATGAAATGTAGAGAGGCTCTGATTCCCACCCCCCTTTTGAAAATAATGGATGGTTTCCTCCAACAATAAAATCACAGGTCAACATATCAATTTTCGAGCCCCTACATGACTGTGAACTGCCTTGTGAAATAAACATCAATTCTTATGTAGATCTTTGAGGGTGGTTTTCCTGAATAACCACTTATACTTTAAGGTCATGTCCTTCAAAGTCACTGAAGTAAGACAAAAGCAAACAAAATGAGTAGGAAAGAAATTAATGGCTTATGGAATTGGATTTCATACATTAGTACACTGAAGTGTATATGGTTAAAAGCCTGCCACATCATCTGAAATTGTGGTGTGAAGGCTAACTTTTCCATCTTGTGTTAGTGCCACACTGACCCCATTGTGGTAAAGCACACTTTTAGTTAGCTATTGCTTTACTTTGACATATATCACGAGGCCATTTTAAAATCAGAATTGAAACTCCAATTGTGTCTAGCACAGTTCCAGAGAAATCCTATTATGCTATACAGATTTTCTCGATGAATATTCAGCTACCCAACAATGCTGTACTTGGGAAAGTTATAGACATCTACTATACCTTAATAATGAAAAAGCACGTTTTTTTTGTTTTATAATTTTATTTGAAGGCTGCTACATTTTAGTACCTCCTAAACTCATAGCTTTTTACCCAATCACACCTCTGCCTCTCTGGAGAATGCTCCTCCCACCCTTCTTTTCTTCCTTCTGTTAGGAACTGGACCGTTTCCACTTAGATAATAATTGTTTTATTCTGACCACCCTTATTTCGGGATTGGCGTAAACCTCTTTATGTTTAAATAGCACCAAACTCAGTTTCAAATGACCAGGGGCTTCTGATGACAGGGCACCTGTGTAAAAAAAAAAAAAAATTAAAATCACTTCGGATTTCCAAGGAGAGATGGTTGTTCAAGATGCGGAAATCTAGATTTGAGAAAACACGAGCTCTTTCACTGGCTCCCCGCTGGCCATTGGAATAAGCACTGAACACTGTATGGTGAGTTGCCATTTCTGAAGACCATAGACCACGCCTACTATCTAGTGTGTCTTTATTTACTCTGAACACAGGCAAGGGGATGTGAAAGTCAAAGGACCGCACAGAAGCACATTTGTGCGGTGAATTCTAAACAGTACGTGCTCGGCTCTGGATGACGTTTGAGCTCTTCGTCTGCTCGGCTCACTTAGGACGGTTTACCAGGTGCACTGTCGGGATCAAATGCTGGGGGAACTCAAATCAGAAACACAGTATTCATTCATTTAACTCTGGTACAGTAGAGCAAATTCAGGCTGACTCAAGGGACACCACATCTTGTAAAACATATGTACTTAATATAGGGTCATAAAACTTATTAAATTAAAAGCTAGGCTGAAAATAGGAAGAGAATTTATGCTGCTGTCCAAAATAGCAATGATTTCCCTTTGGCCTTTCCTTCCAAGTCATATGGGTTCTGGACAGGAAGAAGGAAAAAAAAGTCAACTTATAAAATCTTCATTTTGTTGGACTAAATGTAAATTTCTTTGAACAGTGCTTTGCATCTTAACAGGTAAGCGATGCGGCTGAACATAGAGGAGCAAAAAGATAGGGTGCAAAACCTTGGAATGGATCTAGGTTTCATCATTGTACTTGAGCCCAAGCAACAAAACACATTGTTTTAAGAAATAATAGCTTAAGGGAGACGAGAGGATTTATTGATTTACTTTAACCATGTTGGTGTCAATGGCTAATGCGCTCACCTGTGAACCACAGGGTGGGAGGTTTGGGTCCATCTGGAGGCACCTCAGGAGAAAAGCCTGGTGATCTCCTTCCCAAATAATCAGCACTGGAAACTCTCTGGTGAGAGGTTCTGCTCTGACAGTCATGGGCTTGCCATGACTTGGAATTCACTATCCAGCAAATGGCTGGCTGTGTTTCCCATAGTTGACCGGACTACAGGGCAGCAGTTGAGCCTTAGGGGGTGTAAGAGCAACCAGGGTGTAGCAATTCTTTCCTGAATAAATCCTTTTATCCTTGCTCAGGCTGTGTTTGGTATGGGGAAAAGCTTATGGTAAGGTGACCAGATATAAAGCGGGACACCATTGACCGGGGGCTGGGGGGTCTTGATTAAAAATTTGGTCTATATGGACCAAATAGACCGTTCCCTAGCTTGTCGTGTATTCTTTCCAAAAATTGAGACTTTTAAAAATGCCCAAAATTGGGACTGTCCTGCCAAAAGCTGAGGGCTACAGCTGGGTAGAAGCTACACATGACCCTCATCACCAACTTCAGACAGCGGGGCGGAGGTGGCCTTAGCTTTGGAAGCCTGCGTAGCCCTTTCTCATCTACGCAGCTAATATCTATTGAGTTTGCTTGACTATTGACCACCACCATGATGACTACCCTGCTAGTTGTTGCTCTTGGGGATAGTGCCTTAGAATTCGAAACAGAAACAAATATCGATTTCCTTCTACTGTAGTCATACAGGATTGGTTTAGAATTGTATCTTCCCACAGTGGTCTTAAGGCTGTTGAGAAGGTGTTGAGTCGATCCTTTATCTCTTTGCCTTCAGACCTATTCTTGCCCTTCCCCTAGGCGCTCTCCTTCCGTGGTTCTTAGCCTTGCAAAGCCCATTGTCAGTGGAAAGCTATGACCCACTGGCTTCCACTCTGGTCAGGTTCTGCAAAGTGAGACACTGGAGAAGGAGGGAGAGGCTGGGATACGCCTCTTCTCTTTGCTTTGGAAGTGGCTCTGAGGTCTCGCTTCTCGGCTTCTAGAACTCGATCCTGCCTTCTTCCCGTTTCCCCTTCAGTTTAGGAGTGGGCGTGAGAATGTATTTGAATGAGGGTGCTGGTGAAACTATGGAAAGCACCGTGGACTGCCAAAAAACCAGACAAATCTGCTTTGGAAGAGGTACAATCAGAATGTTCCTTCGAGGCAAGCATGGTGAGCGCTGGTGTCACATACTTTGGAGATGGTCCATCAGGAGAGAGAGAGTGGTCTCTGGAGAAGGACCTCATCCTTGGTAAAGAAGCACGACAGTGACAAAGAGGGAGCCGTTCGGCAAGATGGATGGACAGAGTGACCGCATAGGGGCCATTGTGCGGAGGGCAGAGGACTAGGGGGGGGTTCTCTGTTGTGCACAGGGTCACTATGAGTTGGAAGGGACTCGATGGCACCTAACAGCACCAGTGAGGGAAGCTGAGGCAGGACTGAGCAAGTTTTCAGCTCTTGGACATTGGGACCCTGAACCGGCTAGATTGAACCGGAAACCAACAACAGCAAGAACCTTGGCCTCCCTGGGCTGGCCCTGGGCTTCCTGCCGTTGGTACTCTCTGGGGGACTTCAGTATGCCCGTTTGATTTTTCCATTGTATGGGACTACTTTTCTGAATTTCACCCCTCTGCTGAAATGCCTGGTCATGACTCTGTTCCAGGTTGCTGTGGTTACCATCGAGTTGGCCCCCAAGTCACGGGGCAATGGCACGGTGCAATGCCTCACATTCAATGGCAAGAAGCGCTGCGGGCCTTGCTCCAACTTCGTGATGAGTGTGGATTGGGGCCCTTGGGTTTTCATGATCTGATTTTCAGAAAGGAAACTTCCAGGTTTTCTTCCTAATCTATCTTAGTCTGGGGGCTCCGCTGAAACTTATTTGGCAGCAGACCCCCCCAAGCAAACCTCCATGGACAGATGGATGTGTGCATGAGGTACATTTGTTTGGAATCAAACTTCTGTCTCCCATGTGGAGGTCAAGAATTTTACAACC